GGCAATTTCTACCTCTCTGTGTTTCAGCTGACAATGGAGGGGCTGTGGTCAAACGTGACACATCCAAAGGATTTTCCATTCTCCGTCTGGCTGACCCATTTCAGTGACGTGATCGGCGCCTCTCACGTGCCGTCGTTTTCCTTCTGGGGTAAGGATCACATCGCCACCGATGGCTTTCGCCAACTGGCCGAATGGGGATCCGCGTCTGGGGTTGAAACTGAGCTCAGGGCCAAAGCCAATCAATTGAGAACGCTGATTAAGGCTGCCGGTTTGTGGTATCCGAACGTAAACACTAATACCAGCACCAATTTCAGGTAGTTATTCACCCTCGGTATCGATTATTACCGTTTTCTGTAAAAGTTTCGATGTCGTTTGATTCTTTTATTTTGTTTAAAATACGACAAGATTTTGTCAGAAATTTGCCACGATGTATTTAGTTGGTTAAAAAACCAACTATTTGAGGAAGCCAGCTATTGAATGATATTGTTCGGATGTAATCGTGTTGAATACAAATATTAACATTAGAAACTACATGCTAAGGCAAAAATAGAATTTCCGTCAAAGGTATTAAAGTTAAAAAAAAAAGAAAAAAAAATAATAGAAGAATTTTGTAATACAACAGAGTCTACAAGCTTTTATTTAAATCTTTGCTTCACGTCTACAAGACTGTCAGGAAAAATTGTAAATTGATTATTTCGAGCTTCGGTAGTTCTAGTGTTAATAATTGCCGATATTAATATTCGAATAATATTCGATAATCTTCTTATCTGCTTTCCTAGAGTGGATAGAAAACATCCAATGATATCCGCAGCTTCCATGTTTGGCCCTTCACCGGACTGGGTGGTCGGTGTGAGCAAGCTGAACCTCTGCAGAAAGGATTGCACGTGGACGAAGAGCGAGGTGATCGATTTATACCCGTGGGACGCCGGCACTGACAATGGGATCTCCTACATGTCGCCGAACTCTGAAACGAAACCGCGCGAGAAGATGAAACGAATCACCACTTTGTACCCCGAGGATCCCAGATCGCCGTTCTACGACCCGACTGGACGACCCATGTTGCCATTAGCCCGGCTCTATTTGAATAGGGAGAGGATCATCCCGCGAGGCTGCGACGAGCAAATCCTTCAGCAACAAGTCACGCAGCTCGAGGTCGCTGAGAACACCGAGGA